TGTAAGGGGCTGAAGTTACATCATGATTATGCCAACACTGTACCATTACATGTAATGGGCCGAAGTAACATCATGATTATGCCAATACGGTATCGTTACATGTAATGGGCTGAAGTTACATAATGATTATGCCCATACGGTACTGTTACATGTAATGGACCAAAGTTACATCATGATTATGCCAACACTGTACTGTTACATTTTGTGGTTTGTAGTTACATGATGATAAGCAAACAAAATAAATGAGTTGTTGTCAGCATATGCATCAGTTTACAACTTCAAAATACATCATCTCATTAAAACAAAATAAGGATGAAAATAACGTTTTTGTCTGTAATTGACATTGCACTGACTTAGTCTTGAACGGGGGCTATAAGATGTTAGAACTTTGGGGGGGGGACAAGTTTCAGCCAAAATATTGTAAAAAAGAGCAGAAACAAATTATTTTTCAACCAGAACAAAAGTTTAATAGATATTGCCTTCACTTGTTTTCCGTAATATTTAACATAATTAAAACTGTGTAGGTCTTTTCTTCTATGTTAGATACTTTATATCTCTGATTTATTCTCTCAGAGGGTGAAACTTGGATCTGTAAACCAACTGGCCTAAATCAGGGTAAAGGAATATACCTAGTACAAGACATTACTGAGTTAAAGAAGAAATATGGTGATCCAGAAGAAGATGGTCCTGGCAACCCTCCTCCTCCGGCTCAACAAAGAAGAAAACGAGTCGCACCTATGCAGAGATTAATTCAGAGGTAACGATTATTTTATTTATTTTTTTTTTTGTAGAAATTAATTACATTACTACAAGAGTAACAGTAATAGAGGATTTACCTATTGTAATAACAAATTAACAAACCAGTTATAAGAGAAAGGAAAGGAAAATCTATGCAGCGTAGTAGTTTGCCTTTATATCTAAAGTCAAAGAAACACACTCAAGAATGGATGCAGCTCACTAGTTTAAAATGTGAATATTTTAAAAGCACAACAAATTATTGATTTTTGCTTAGTAAAAGACAAACAAGCATAACAAATTTAGGGTTGTCTGACCTTACATGTATTTTTATGGGAACAATGTCTGTTAAACCCTGCATTGAATTAAAAATTGATAAAAATTTGGACACAAACTATATTACCGTACCCCATATTTTCTTCAGAGTTTTAAATAGCCAATCATAGAAACAATCATGGCAAAGCTTCAGGACATTTGTTTCAATAGTGTGTGAGCTGCTACCATATTTAAACAAATATATCATTATAATTCTGTTACTTTTTAGAACTTTTTGGAGATTCCACTATTTTGTTCAGCTACAGTTCAGTGAAGTGATAGAATACTGTAAAATACTATGCTATTTTCACTGAAGGAATGATTCAGTGAAAATAAAATCCAGCAAATATACCTTTTTTCATATATTTTACAGTCAACTTATCAAAAATCAGTGAAAATAAATTCCATACGAAACACCCAAAATGTCTTTTCAGCGAAAATTAATTCCAGCTAAAATAAAGTATTCTACATGAAAACTGCTCTGAAATCATGGGCCTGTTACATCTATTGTTGAATGAATTTCTCTGCGTATGATTTTACTCTTTTTTAAAAGAAAGAAAGGCTACTAATATCCCCAATAATGTTAATATCATTGCAAATAAACGAGAGAACGGGGAAAATCAGTAAGCAGCTTAAAGGAAACATGCTATACAAAGTACAACTCAAGAGGGCGCCAACACACTATACAATTCATCGCTCTTGAGGGCACTGGCTCTTTACTATTTTTTTTTTATCCCCTGTAGAACTACATACGTGGATTTATATGTTTCAATATTATTAAAAACATGTTGCATTCAAGATGTATTTATATATTTTTTTGGTTAGATATGTTCCAAACCCATTGTTGTTAAATGGTAAAAAGTTTGATGTGAGAGTATACATGTTGATTGCCTGTACCAACCCACTGATGGTATTCTATCATAAGGCTACTGTAGACTAGCATGTCAGATTACGATCATGAAAGCAAAGATCTTGGCAGACACTTGACCATCAGTGAGCAGAATATTTGCTGCAGTCAAACAGATTTTTCAAAAGCTACAAAAGTCCACATTGGTGTTTAAGGGTTAAGGTTTAGATTATAGACGACTTGCAGTCTTCAGGTATTGCGTGTATGTCATACAGTGTCTTGTTCATGGCCAGTCATGCTATAATCACTAAATGTTTAACTTGAAACACTGTGAAATCATGACAGAAGTTGTTTGCTTTTTTCGTTTGTGTGCACAAGACATGATTACCTTGAGTGTTATGGACCAAAATTGTTGATATCAATCAGAATATCGCATATGACAGAAACCTGCAAATTGTTTTTATACCTTGGATGTCAATGGCCATCGAGATCTTGTTTTTGTCTCTAAAATAGTTCTCTAAAGTGTTCCTTGTCATTCATTGCTAGTCTTGATTGCTACTTGACGTGGTAAATGTTTATGTATATTTCTCTGACTCATGAAACACTTTGTTCTGTTGAATAAATTATATTATTATACATCTGTCACCAAAACGCCATAAGTTATAGCGTGCCGTAATTTTCCGTATTGGGTATATGGATCCTACCATATTAGGAAATGTGGAATCGAAATATGGACTAATTATGTGCATTAATAATAAAAACAAACTTGGCTGCCCCTAGAATTTAATTGGACCCCACACAAAGAACTTTGCTAAATCTGTTATAAACTTCGGCATTTCCATAATTTATTCTCTGGGAGGACAATATGCGGTCACAACGACCTCCTCTGCACGTCGGTCGATACTCCCGCTGTACTGTCTTCGTGCATACCTTGCGGTATTCTCCTAATAACTTCATATTACATAAGCACTACACATTGCTTTAGTTGGCCTAAGGTATTTTTCCAATTGTGCAAATTATTTTGTTTTTGCAATGTTCATACAGATAAATGAACAAAATAATGCAACATTGTCAGTATTTAGTGGTGTGTCAAATCAAACATTTACCTGCTATACAGTGGCATGATATATTTATATTTGGAGGACGACTAGTGATGTTGGCTTGACTGGCTACAAGATGTATGGTGCTCTGAAAATACGTAATTTGAAAGACCGTGCATTAACAAAACTGGTGTGATGTAATCTTCGTTATTCTGAAATTTGGATCAGAATCGTTATTTTAACACAAAAATGGAAAATTTATGTATAGTATATTCTGCTATATTTTACATCATTATTTGTGGCAATGCAAAGTATCTGATTGGCTACCCTAATCAGAAAGCCAATTTGAGAGTAGCTTGTTTTTTGACAAGTTTTGTTCAACATATTAATGCTTTGTATATTTTGATAACATAGTAGTCAAAAACAGACATCTCTCAAATTTACAATTGTTTTATTTATTTCAGTATGTGCAGAAAAAGGACCCAATGTACGAGGAAATGAAGGAGGAAACCGCCTGGAGTATGGATAAATTTAATGATTATGTGAATGAGAATCTGGCAGAAGAAAAGGGATTGCCCGAAAATTGGATCTATGGATTCTTCACAGTGAGTAAATGCCTTAATTGTTTGTGTGACAATGCACATCATTGGTCTATACATAACACATGACAAATCAGGTGTGTAACGACACACATTATTGTCTATACATAACACATGACCAAACACCTGTGTAACGACACACATTAGTGGTCTACACATAACACATGACCAAACAGCTGTGTAACGACACACATTATTGGTCTGTAACGACACACATTTTTGGTCTACACATAACACATGACCAAACAACTGTGTAACGACACACATTATTGGTCTACACATAACACATGACCAAACAGCTGTGTAACGACACATATTATTGGTCTGTAACGACACACATTGTTGGTATATACATAACACATGACCAAACAGCTGTGTAACGACACACATTATTGGTCTGTAACAACACACATCATTGGTCTGTAACGACACACATTGTTGGTATATACATAACACATGACCAAACAGCTGTGTAACAAAACACATTATTGGTCTATACATAACACTTGACCAAACAATTGTGTAACAACACACATCATTGGTCTATACATAACACTTGACCAAACAACTGTGTAACAACACACATCATTGGTCTGTAACAACACACATCATTGGTCTGTAACAACACACATCATTGGTCTGTAACCATTATGTCAATGGGGTTCTGAATTAATTAACCAAGAAGTTATAGAAAAATGTATCCAGATGATGAAACTAAATTTCAATGTGGAAAATTTATGGCATTCAAAAGGATTAATAACATGTTGTTTTTTTATTTCTCAAGAAACGCATGCAGGCTATAATGTTGAACTGTACGCATGCAGTACGAAATAAATTACAGTGTAAACTGGGATACTTTGATCTGTATGGATTTGATTTCTTATTGGACACTGATATGAAAGTGTGGTTACTGGAAATCAATGTTAATCCAGCATTGCATGTCAACTGTGAGGCCTTACTGGAATGTATTCCTGGTGTTGTATCGGAAACTTTGGGTATGTAGCTTGTATACTTTATTTTCTCTATTGGAAGCACAACTTTAAGCGCATATAAAACAAAAATCCCATTTGTTGTATGCTGAATCGTTAATATTACTTATTTTTGACCATTAACATTTTGTTTTCATTTACGTAAGCATGTACACTACTAATAGAACAAATACGGTATGTGTCTGAATGATGTCTGCTCTTCCTTTCTATTAAAACTTTTTTTAAATAAAATGCAAAGTGCCACAGAATATTTGAATTGTAACTTGAGAATAAGAAGCATTATAAGACCTTATGACATCATTAAAACCATAATACTTATTAGACGCATAAAGGATAAAAGGGTCTTACAAAGAAAAAATTTAAAACTATAACCAAAAAAAAAAGAAAAAATCTTATTCTTGAAATATAAAAAAAATAAAAAAAAAATAAAGACAATTTGCAACCAATGGTGAATACAGAATGAAAGTAATCTCTAATTGTAACCTGATAGTTGTTGCTGTTTTGTTTCATATCTGTTTTTTAAGAAGACAGCTAAGGCTGGTGCTAGTGTATGGTTTCCCATAATCATTATGAATTTATCCTGACTGTTTTCTTTACCAAAATTCAGGTATGTACGACCTAGAAAGAGTGCCGTATGCGAGTACCAAGTTGCGAGTCGCAAGTAGCAAAATATGCCATATGCTAGTGGTAAAAACGGTATATGCGAGTGGTAAAATGTATCGTTTGCTAGTAGCAAAAAAGCCCTATGCGAGGGGTAATACAAAGGATTGTAACGTTTGCTTATAATATAACAACGTACGTTCAATTGTGTTTTATCACAGTAAAATCACAGTAAAAAGTTTGTTCAGTCGTTTGCATAGAATCGATGTTTGCTCTTCACGAAATTGCACAGGAAACGTGAAAGCACAATATTGTTATTATCTTTTCTAAGGTCTATGTTTTAACGAAACATAACACTTTTTCTACTTGTACAAATAAAGTGGTTAGGTCGAAGTATTTGGGGCATTGAGGCTAAGTCTTCTACTAGCATTTACCCATGAAAATTGCCTCTCTATCCTGACCAAGCAACGACAGACGCTTCTTTGTTTCAATTTGTTTCAATTCAAATTTGATCCGGGATTGCGTGTAAATACATTCCATGTGTGAGGGACGTCTCGTAAACTTATCACTCAACATGCACTTTATTTCTTTATTATATACTATGTATTATGGAATTGTGTGCTAGTTAACACTTGGGTTGTGGCAAATTTAACACCTCTCCGAGGTGTGACTACTTTTGAAACCTGTCATTGTCTTCATTTAAACGGCGGCGCGTGACACAAGAATTCTGTGACCCTTCGGTGAACATGCACCCGTTACTAAGTACAATTATAATTCTATGATTCTTTAATCACTGACTACGGGTTCATACTAATTTTACCGAAAGAAAAAACAATTTTCACATGTTATGCGGAGTGTGCTGGCTGGTCATGGCCGTTTATTAAATTATTGTGCTTTCACGTTTCCTGTGCAATTTCGTGAAGAGCAAACATAGATTCTTATGCAAACGACTGAACGAACTTTTTGATACAGCATCATGCCAATCTTAACCAACCATGTACACATCATTTCATAACCATGGTAAATATTTGATTTTACTGTGATAAAACACAATTGAACGTACGTTGTTATAAGCAAACGTTACAAGCCTTTGTATTACCCCTCGCATAGGGCTTTTTTGCTTCTAGCATACGATACATTTTACCACTCGCATATGCCGTTTTTACCACTAGCATATGACATATTTTGCTAGTTGCGACTCGCAACTTGGTACTCGCATACAGCACTATTTCTAGATCGTACATACTTCACTGTACTGTTGTAAATGTTTAGGAGTGTACTGTACTGTTGTAAATGTATAGGTGTGTACTGTACTTTTGTATATGTATAGGCGTGTACTGTACTGTACTCTTGTAAATGTATAGGGATGTACTGTGTTGTTCTGTTGTGTGTGTATATATATATATATATATATATATATATATATATATATATATATATATATATATAGGGGTGTACTGTACTGTTCTGTTGTACATGAATAAGGGTGTTTCATATTCATGCTAGGCCTTCCTTACCCTAACCCTGAATGGCTGATAATTGAACCTATATGTTTTTTAGTTTTTTGGACCAAGGGACTACTGCTATCACAATCTTAGGCTATGTGCCGTAGGCAGTGTGCTGTAGACAAAGATATCTCAAAAACCCTTCAGTCTATTTTTCTGAAACTTTGGATTATGATAGCGTGTGTGAATATCTTCAGGGCATTTTTTTTTTATTTGGCTTGAATCATTTTAAAATTAATTTTTGCCCCCGCCCCCAAATCAGGTTTTCCCAGTGTAGGTAATCTCTGTCCAATTACCATACATGGTGAGTGGCACAATTTGCATAGTAAACATTTTGTGTTATTTTCTGATACACACTTCTCTTATCAAATTGTAGTTTCATAATAAAGAATGTATATTATTTGATGTGTTCATGTATGTTGTGATGGTTTATCGCATAAATTATTTGTTTAATGATAGAAAATAGTACTAATTTGAATTTATCATGTATGCGCAGTTACGCATAAAACGACCATTGGATGATATGGCAGTGTGATTCGATGTCTCAAATTTCGCTATGAAAATTACAGTATAATAATTGTTTTGATAGAATACAATGCGTGATGTGTATTTGTGATTACATGGCACTGTCTTAATTAATAAAGTAGTGTGTGTTATTGGACGAATTGAACACTTGTTGTTTTATTGCTGTGTTGTTTTATTGCACGAACTGGGCACTGACAGGCAACAACCAGCGAATATATTTATAGCTGCGGTTTCGTAGCTCTTTTGTAAGACTGAC